TAAATAATGTTTCATTAATTAATTTTTAATTTCTTATTATTAGATGTTTTACTCATGACAAATTACACAATTGAAAAAAAAACTAGAAAATTGTAGCCCTTAGTACAGTTTATGAAAAAAATAAGAATTAATTGTTTAAATAATTTAATAAATTGTTATATTTTTTTTCATGCATCAAAGAAACTAATACATTATTTTAATATATTTTTTGATTAATTTTTTTAATTAATAAAGCTAAAAAAATATTGTTTACCATTTTGTGATTTTTTAAATACTTATTGATATTAAAAAAGTTCAAAAACATTTTGAAAAATCAAAAATCGGGTCTGAAAGATCGGTGGAGTATTTAAAAAAAAGAAAAATGGTTTTGGTAAAAAATTTTGACACGTAGAATAATTTGAAACGTAAAAATATATTTTTCGCTCACTGTGTGACTTTTTATAGAACTAACCAATCACTTCATGACATTTTTTTACTCAGAAGTTAGTCATTCTTTCTATTTACTTTTCTTAATAGAGAAGTTTGTTACATGACAGAAAAATTAAGTTCACATATTTAAAATTTACCATGACTTTTCAATACATTTAATTTCAATTTATTTAAAAACTATTACGAATTTCGAGAAAAGAATAAAAAGTGTTGTCTTAGAATTTTCTCCGGATACTAATTCTGCAATTTTAAACGCGATTTCTTCATCACCCTGTATATGCAGGTATGAGGTGCGGCAATGAAAATACAGATTTTGTCAGGGTTAGTAAGGGGGCACTTCAGGGTGATATACTTAGTCCCTTGATTTTCTTTATTTTTATTGCGGATGTAGAGAAATTTCTTATTGACAAAGGATGCGCTGGGGTGTGAGTATTTCTAGTGTAATTGAGATTCTCTTATTAGCGTACGCAGACGATATAGTCCTTCTTTCGGACTCTCCTACCGAACTTTCAAAGAAGCTGTCAGCGCTTTCTGTATATTGTGAGGATAACGAGCTGACTGAAAATATAAAAAAACTAAAATTGCCATTTTTCACTTCGGACATAACTCTTCGTATAAGCGCTTTAAATCTTTTGAATTTGGTTGTAATAGAATTGAGGTCGTTAAGCAGTATGAATATTTGGGAGTTCTCTTTGCAAGCTCAGGCTCTTTTGCACCTAATATACCAAAGTTTATGAGTGCTGCTAACTTTGCTGCCGGAGCAGTTTTAAATACAATATTTCAGACTGGGGCGGACTCATGGACGGTGTACTCCAGGCTTTTCAATAGACTATTTTTAAGCACCCTTCAATACGCCATCCAAATTTGGGGTCATGCACAAGAGGATGGAATTAAGAAAGTTCAGATCTCTTGTTTGAAGAATCTTTTATCGTTGCCTCGTTGCACTCTTCATTACGCGGTGCGACTGGAATCAGGATGCTTACCGATATCCTTCTCGATCTTGGAGAGATCACTGGCTTGGATCACAAAAATTTACAATATGGACTCTTCTCGATATTAAAGTATTTTTACTTAGAAAAGATCATTTGGCTCACGAAAGATCACAAAGTTTGGAAATTTGGCCTTACTTAACATTAGAAACGAGTGATCAGCGATACCTTTAGTCCCACTTGAAATTAAATATTAAGAGAATTTTTACACATATTATGCTCTTAAATAAACATACAAATCTAATTGTAATAAATAAAGCTGTCTTTTGTTTACCACGAGAAGAATTATGCATGTTTTGCGATGAGCAAAGAGAAGATTTTCATCACTTTCTAATAGATTGTAAGCATTTTTATAACCTTAGACTTTTTGACCGACAGATTGGCTCAGTCGGATAAGTGCCTGGCGTTGGTGGTCGTTTAAGGACCAAGGGTATAAGTATCCTTGGTTCGCGCCCACTTGGCTTGGTATTTTTCCGGCACGTGAGACAATCTGAGCGGGAGGTTTGACGTCGAGGTATAATGATGTGCACCGTCGATTATTGTCCGGTACACACCATTAGAACTCGACTGTCGATAAACCGGTTGTACTCAGAGAGGTTTTCTACAGTTTCCCTCTTCTCTGGCGAGAAAACCCATTGACGGGTGGTCCAGGCGTAATGCGAGTACTCCTAATAAAGTCGGCTGTAGACGCAAATTAGGTTAATATATAGAAAATTTCTAAAGTAGAATGGTTATGCTTAATCCAAAAAAGTATTTCTCGGGGACTCTTGTCGAAGTGCGTAAGGCCAATAGGGCAGGAGTATAAACAATAAAAAAAAAAAAAAAAACCTTAGACTTTCTTTTTTCTCACATCTCCTGGAGTACAGTGTCCCTGAGCCCTTTTGGATGTGTTTTCTTTCGGATGCAGGCGATTACTCTCCAAGTCATTTTGTGAACATTGGCTATTTTCACACGCAACAAAAATATTATACAAAAATATTCTTGAGAAAATTTGACCAATATATTGGTAAAAATTTCGGACTAATTCTGGATTAAATACGGACAGAATATTACGGATTAGTCCGAATATTGTACGAAAAAGGTCCGAAAATCATCCGCGTTAGTCTGATATTAATCCGAACGAAAACCTGAATCCGAAAACACTCCGATGTAATCCTAAATGTCTACGAATTCAGTCCGTAATTAGTCCGCAACAATCCGAATTTATGACCGGTGAAGAATTCTTCTAAAATAAGTACGGAATTATCAGAAATCAATATGTAAAGAATACGGAATCAGTCCGCAATAATTCGAATTTAATATAGTTAAAAAAACTTAATCCGTAAAATGTCCGAAGCAATCCGAACTCTGTAAGCAAGAAATCTGTTATTAGTCCGCAACAATTTGAAATTAAGTGTTGCAAAATCTTATTCCGAAACAAGTACGAAACAATCCGAAAACTGTATGCAACGAATTCGGAAATTGTCTGCAACGATTCAGATTTAATCCAATTGAAAGACATAATCCGAAACAATCCGAAATCTATATGCTAAGTATCCGAACATTGTCTGAAATAATTCGGATTAAATCCAATTAAAAGGCATAATCCGAAACAAATATTAAACAATCCGAAATATGTATGCAAAGAATCCGGTAATAGTCAGCGGCAATCCGAATAATATCTGATCAAAACACCCCAGTCCGAAAAGAAGTCTTATAATAATATCTCAGTGTGCAAAGTTACACAACAATTCTATAACTATTCCCGTGTAGAAAAATTTCAGGGCAGTCTGGAGTCCAGTGATTGCCCCAACTAGACGCATCTGGACGGTCTAATCTGGACGGTCTAACTGTATGCTATATGAGATTTTTCTGGACAGTCTAAAGCAGAGTCTACAATGAGCACGTTAGCACGACGCGCTCGACGCGACGTGAACGTGCTGACGTCACAAACGCGCTAGTACCAACTGTCGCGAATGTATGTACAATATTTCTGGATTATGTATAACTTATTGTAATTTTAATAGAAGAATAATAATGGTTAATAACATTATTAACATAATAAATTTTATTATTTGATTATAACTACTATAATTATTATTATTATTATTATCATTATTAATATAAATTTATAAAATGACAAAAAAAAATAAATTAAAATGTTTGTAAATGGTGGAGGTTATGATTCAGTTATTGAAAACATTTGTATTTCTTTTACAAAATAAGTTACAAATGATAACAGAAATTCAATAATGTTAAACAATTTTAAAAAAATTCTTGTCAGAATTTTAATGACCTTTAAAAATAATAAAATTCTGCTCCAATATTAAATTCTTTTCAAAAATTTTCCTCAAATTAATGATTTTCAATATCAATAATTTTAATAAAATTTTCAAAAAAAATAATTATATGTTTGGGTGGAATTTTGTTAAAATTTTTAAAAGTAATTTAATTTATTTAAAAAAAATTCTACCTAATCATTTAATTATTTTTAAAGATATAATACAAATTCCACTAGAATTTAGTTATATTTTCATATTAATATTATTTATAAAACTCATCACAAAAATTGAATTATTTTTATTTAATTTTATTTACAAAGTACAAAAGTTTAATAAACATTAAATTATATCCAATAAATTATTTCTTGTTGTATTTAAATAATTGAATTTTCGTTGAATTTTCTAATAAAAATTTATTTTAAACATGACATTCCACTTAAAATTTTTAATAATAATTGACATATACATCTCAACAAATGCAATTCTTTATAATTTTATTGAAATTCTTCTAAACAATTCAATTATTTTTGAAAATTTTAATAAAATTAAAGTCAAGAATTCAATTATCTTCATAAATAATAAAACTCATCACAGAATTTCATTTATTTTTAATACAATTTTAATCGAATTTCTGGAAATAAAATGTAATTATTCTTAAAAATTTTATTTGATTTCGTCAAATAAAATTTAATTATTTAAAAATTTTTTTATTACATTTTTTATGAAAATTAAATTTTGAGACACATTCATTTTTCAAAAAATTATTTATTTTTTTTAATTATTGAATTTTTAAATTAAAATTTTGTAGAATTGTGTAGAATTAATTTTTTCTAAAAGTTTAATGGATATCTTTTTAAATTATCTGAAATCTTTATTTCCTAATTTACATTTAATTGAGAAATTTCATAATAATCCTTATAATATAAAATAATGTTCTGAAAATTTTTCCTTTTTTAACCTGGAAAAATAGAGGAATTTCGAATGAGCTAAAGCGTGGCAAATTAATAATGAATTTTTGGTTTTAATCAGTTTTAAAAATAGTTAATTTTTGTTAAAATATGAAATAACGTTTTAATTTTTGTAAATTAGCTAAAACTAACTAAAGAATAGTACTATTTCATTATCCAATTAGTTTTAAAATTCTCATAATTAAATTGACTAATTATTTATTCTTGTTTTTAATGAAATGTATGTACAAAAAAATGAAGTAATTGCAATCATGTCAGATTAAAGGAATACATACATGCATAATATATTAAAACAATAAAATTAAATTAAATTTCAAAACTTCAATTTTATTATTGACACCATACATTTATGTTCATTTATTACTGTATGTGCTTATTTTTTTGTTCATGAGTTGCTGCAATTGTAGGAAACATTGTTTCCTGTTTTCTTCAGGTACTTTGTCCCATGATTGTTTAATAGCCAATAAGTAATCTTGACTTTTGTAGGTTATTGGTTCCTCATTGTCTTCCTCATCTAAAAGAATATTTTTTTTAATGCATATCTATTACATAATTATAGCACAGATAAATAAATTAATTGCATTGCAATTGTTCTCAGTTTTTATTGAATTTAATAACTATACGTATATATATATATATATATATATATATATATATATATATATATATATATATATATATATATAAATTTTGGTATTCTCTAAATTTGAATCAGTTAAAAATAACTGCTTTCTAAATCTGAATATGTGCAAATTAACATATTCCACATATTCAGATTTGGAGAGTAATTTACGAGCATTAATTTTTTAGTAAATTTTCTTTAACTGATTCAATGAGACAAGTTTAACTAATTCTCTAATTATTTTTTAATGAAAATAAGTTATTTATTTTTAAAAATCAATTATTTTTAACTGATTCAGCAGGAAAAAGTCAGTCACTAATTGTCAGTTAAAACCATGATCTGTAACTCATTCAAATTAAGAGAGTACCTTCATCTGATGTTCCGTGATTTTTGTCATGCGAGTTTTTATTTAGGGCCGTCCATAAACCACGTAGCCCCATTTTTTGGGAATTTTGACCCCCCCCCTCCCCCCATGTAGTACGCTATTACATGTATTAGCGCCATTTTTTCCTCTTGTCGTAGTCAATTGCTTGACCCCCCCCCCTCCCCCTCAAGAGGCTACGTGGTTTATGGATGGCCCCTTTCTTTTATTAGAATTATCGCTAGTGTCTTCATTATCCCCATTAAACAATTTGAAAGTACTTTCTGTCCTGCGCACAAGAGAAAAGAATTTTTAATTTTCAAGAAATATGGGAAGACAAATTTTCAGGCGATGCACTGCAATAATTTTAAATATCGGACAAGATTTCTCAAGTGTGTCAATATAAGACGTAATAATTGGCAAAATTCGACTAATATTTATGAAAACTTTAGTACTGTCAGTGTTAACTTCTACTTTAAATTCAAAATTTTACTCTTTCTTAAAAATTACAAAAAAATATTTTTCACTTTCTTTTTTAAAAACCATTTTTCTTTTCTTAACAATAAAATAATGTTTAGAAAGTGTACTTCTACTTATCGAAATGAAAAAAATTGGACAAGTGCGAGTTGTACTCGCACTGCAATGGCGGGTTCCGTACACAAATATTAAAACAATACTTGTAACATTGATCGGTAATTGGTAGAATTAAAATAAACAATTATAAAAATATATTAAAATCATTTGATAAAAAAAAATAACTAAAAAAAGTTAAAGTATTGTATATCTAATATTGTAAACAATAATAAGCAGAGGAACTATAATAAATTTTGAAAATTTTGTTTCTCTGCTTATTATTGTTTACAATATTAGATATATACAATACTTTAATTTTTTTTAGTTATTTTTTTTTATCAAATGATTTTAATATATTTTTATAATTGTTTATTTTAATTCTACCAATTACCGATCAATGTTACAAGTATTGTTTTAATATTTGTGTGCGGAACCCGCCATTGCAGTGCGAGTACAACTCGCACTTGTCCAATTTTTTTTTATTTTTAGTTAAGAAATTAAAGTCAGAAAACAACCTCTCATTTATTCTCTTAAAATTTCACTCTCTTCCTTAAAATATTTAATGCCACGTGTTTAAACTAAAAAAAATTAAAAGAATTTTTTTTTTGAAAAAAAAAATTAAAAAAAATTTTTTTTTGATTTTTTTTCAAAAAGTTTCTTAAATAAATTTTTTGTCGTCAGACTGTAATAATACACTAGGATACCAATTTTCAGCTCATTAGGTCAAATAATGTAAAAGTTAGGGAAAAAAATTTTTTTTTTAAAATTTTTTAGTTTTTCCTTGACAACGCTATGGCCATCATTACATATCAAGTTCTCTATATTTTTCCTGTAATATTCGAGTAAAAATACCCCAGCATGCAAAATTTCAGCTCTCCATGTCGAATAGTTTAGAAGTTAAGGGGGGGGAATGGTCACTTTTTATGCATTTTTGGCCAAAAATCTTGTTATTTCCTTGACAACGCTATGACCATCATCTCCAAACACATTCTCTATATTTTTCCTGTAATCTACGTGTGGAAATACATATCTGTACCAAATTTGAGCTCTTTAGGTCAAATAGTATAGCCGCTGGGGGGGGGGCACGATTTGGCTACGGACAACAGAGTCTCACCAATAGGGTTCCGCCGATACACCGTAGGTGTACGGAACCCTAAAAATGAATGATTTTTCTTTTTTGAAGATTAATTATTAAATCAATAAAAAAATATTTTTTTTCTAAACAAAAAAGTGAGGGTTGTTCTGAATGAAACATTATAAAGGTTGATATATAAAGTATTTTTGATTAATTTTTACTGAAATGTAAATTAATTTTCATTTATTTAATAAGAAAAATGTTTCAGAAAAAAATTCTACATCATTTTTCTTTTTTCGTTTGTTGAAACTTTACTTTCCTAGCTTTATTTTTCAAGACTGGAAAAAATTTAAAAAATTGTTCTTTTTAATTAAAATCTAGAATTTTTTAAAAAATTTTAGTAAAGTAGTCAAACGAATGTTGAATTATGAAAGCCAAGACTTTGGTATACGCTTGAGAAATTTTGATCCCTATATAAATTTATTAAGTATATATGTGCTTACTTTCGATGATTAACATGTTTCTCTAAAAACATCATGGAATTATAATATTTCCATGTTACTTCTTTATTTTCACTTGCAGCTGATCCTGATGGAATATAAGATGCAATTTCTTTTCGTTGCTCCATATATTTCGTTTTAAAATATTCCCATTTATTAATCACTTTGTCTGCTGTGGAAAAAAACAATATACATATATAACAGTAATATACAGAAACACTAATTTTTTTTTAGGTAAAATAAATAATATTTTTAAACATTTTTTGTATTTCTTGCAAATTATTCAAAATACAGATACTTTTAAAAATGGCAATGGAATTAAAAAAAATATTTATCACAGTAAAATTTAATTTAGAAACTTAATTTTGTCTGTCTTGTCTATTGCTATGTTAAAGTATTTATAAAAAACCGAAAAAATAATTTTAAAAGTCCATTCAATCGAATGTTTATAAATAAATAAAAACATGATCACCTAATATCTAATCATTCAATATTGTTCATTTAATAAAAGCATAGATTGTATATTGAAAAAATACGAAATTGTTATTGTTTTTTTCAGAAATAATTTTTTTTTTAAATGATAATTTATTTATTATTATATATACAAAAAACATTCTTTTGCTTTAATTTATTTACAATAGTCAATTTCTCAAAAACGGACAAAAATAGAATTAGAATTTAAGAAATAAACCAGCAAAGAAGACAAATTTGAAGTTCCTTTAAATGCAGAAAAAATATTTTTGTGACATTGTGATTTAATAATGAATTTAGGCGAAGAATTTTGAGAATAACTGACGATGTAAGTATAAATCTGAGATTATTATATTGTATTTTTATATTTATATACGTAATGTGCTCTTTGGAAAAAAAACATTGAAATAAATGTTAGGTTATGTTAGTTGAATTAATTGTATTTACATACATTGTATTTCTCTCCCTGTTAAATTCGCCACTTCTGCTGCTATCTCCTCCCATGCATGATTTTTTTTATCAATATTTTTATAACTAAATGATGATTTATCATATAAAAAACTCCTTTCTTTAACTAGCAAAATAATAGCTTCGTCCACATCCACATTGTTTATTTGTTGAGCCATTTTTCTTCGAATTTTTTACAGTTTCATAAATTTTAAAACTGTTCACTTAGCAGCATCACACACCGTACACCAGATAGTTTGCAACTGCCATTTGCAATTTATAAATCACGTGATCATGATGTTGCCACAGAAAACAGGATGAAAGTGGACAAAAGTGGTTGGTTTTTAATTTCACAAGCAAGCATAGCCAATGAAAATTGCTTTCGCTTGTTCACTTCGCGACATCTGGAGGTTTATGTTGCAAAACTTGGTCTATAATTCAAGTTCATTCCCATCTATCATTTTCTCTTGTTTCAGGTTTCAGTGTTAAGAATTATATTTTGCTGGATAATTTAATTAACTGGTTAATTTACAAACAAAAATGTTAACACCTAATTCAGAGGAAGCTGAAATCAAATTATTTATCAGTATTGTTAAATGTCACGAGTGGATTTACAATCCAAACAAAAAATTGTTTGATGAAAAGAAAAAATCAGAAATTTGGAAAGAAATAAGATTACAATTACAATCATATGGCGTGCATTATGCAGGTTTGTTATTATTTCTTATTTTAAGTATGTATATTTTTCAAAAAATAATCTTTTTAACACTGAAACCAGTTTTTTTCTCTAAATAAGTAAACATTTCACTTTTTGAATCTAATTTTTAAGATTAATATTACTTTAAAATATAACATATATTTTTAAACAATCTTCACTACGAATATAAATTATGGTGAAAATATATGTCGCGCATACAGTTAGAAATTTTTGCTAAATTGTTAAAAAAAATATTGAATCAAAGAATTTGCTATTTTTATTTTTTAAATTGTTTTTACATAAGTAACATAACATAACCTCTTCATTTTAACATCTTTGCTTCTAAAATTTTATACATTTTTACTCACGTTCAAAATTATTTTTTAAATTACAACTTATAGTAGACTAAATAATTTACATTATAATTATTTTCAATTTGAAAATCATTAAATCATTTCTTTTTATGTAGATACTAAAAAGAAGTGGCAGAAATTGCGAGAAAACTATGTTCGAAATCACAAGAAGAATAACTTGAAATGGCCTTTTAACAAGGATATGGAGTTTCTAGAAGCATTCGTTCACCACAGAAAGTATTACATTTAAATTTAAAAATTACTTGTACATTAATTTTTATTTTCTGAATGACATAATTAAATTTCAAAAACAATACACAAAATTGTTATTTCATTTTTAGTTGACATTTGCTAATTGAAATAAAAATTGCACTATTTGTTTTTAAGTAAATGATACATATTTTTATTTATACAAATAAATGTAATTATTTCAGAAAAACTGGAGAAGAAGAAAGTTCTTGTAAAAGCAGGAATTTGATCGAAGAAGGAATAATGATCGAAGGAATGGAAGTAGACAACGAAGATTATGATAATTTTGCTTCAAATCAAGTAATAACTATGAACATCGATGGAATAGATGAGACCTTGTACGTGTCTGAGCAATTAAATGCTGAAAAAATTAATTGTTCATTAAATCAAGGTCCTGGAGTGGAAGTAGAAAATACGCATCGTTCATTTTTGTGGCCAAGTACTTCTTTGAGAAATTCATCTGCTGGTTCCTCTTCATCTACAGGCGCATCTGTTGAATTACCTCGAAGTACTGTTTCACCTATACATTCGACTGAAAGTTTAGAAAAAGGTCGTGAGGTGGAAGTAGATATAAATACATATCGTTCATTTTTGTGGCCAACTACTTCTTCGAGAAATTCCTCTGCTGGTTCGTCTTCATCTACAGGCGCATCTGTTGAATTACCTCGAAGTACTGATTCACCTATACATTCGACTGAAAGTTTAGAAAAAGGTCGTGAGGTGGAAGTAGATATAAATACATATCGTTCATTTTTGTGGCCAACTACTTCTTTGAGAAATTCTTCTGCTGGTTCGTCTTCATCTACAGGCGCATCTGTTAAATTACCTCGAAGTACTGTTTTACCCTTACGTTCGACTGAAAGTTCAGAAATTTCTTCATTTCACTCAACACCTATTTCAGAAACGTCAATAAACACTTCTGCATCGACAGCTCCATTAACATTTTCAATTGCTTCAAATTTGCCATCAACTTCCACTTCGATTACTAGTTCTTTGCCACGAATAACTTCAGTTGTTCAATTAAAAAAAGCGAATGTGCCTGTAGATGTGAATTTGTTTAAAAATTCATTTGCTGAAGGAAAAAGGACAGTGGAAACAACAGAAGCACGTAGTAGTAAGTCAAAGAAACCAATGCAAATTTCAAATCAATCGAAAATCCAAAGAAAAATTGTTCCAGCTTGGGACGAGTTCGCTTTAAAGAAAAAGAAAAAAAGAGATGAGGAAGGTGAAACTATTGCAAATTCTATAGTTAAAGTTTCGAATAATCTTGCATCTGTTTTATCTGAAATGAAAGAATATATTCGTTATAAAAAAGAATTAGTAAAGTCTCAGCTGAAATATAACACAGAAAAAAAAGATGACTGGTATTTTAATATAATAAAGGAGGACTATTTAACACTTCCTTTATCTGATCAAAGAGAATTGCTTTCTTCCATTATTGAAATAATGGAAAAATTCGCAATATAATTTCTTATTACTTTTAAGAATAAGAATCAGAGGATTGTCTACAAATAGACTCGAGTATTTCTTAACAGTTAATTTCTCTCATATAATTTTAACTACCTATTATTTTTAAAAAACTGTTTTGAAATAATAATGTTTACTAAAAGTAATCGTCATTTAATTTTTTTACATCGCATTGTGCAAATTGTTTAACGCACATAATTATTATAGAACGTATTGGTCATTAGCTTTCGATTACAGAAAAATTCACACAGTTTCTGTAACTTTATTGTCTTTTGTAATTTATGAAAATATCTTACTATTAACATTTTCTATTACAATCACTTGTAAGTGACTTTCAAAAATTTTTATAAAGAGAAATATGTGCAAAAAGTAGCACACGTTTTTCCTCTTTGAAAGAGTTTTTCTTTTATTTTGTGTTCTTATTTTCATAAAGAAAAAACTCTTCACACAATTTTCATTTTACTTAATTTTATATCTTTTTCATTACATTATGTTTTGTACCTAGATTTCGAAAGGGATGTCACAACTGTGAAATATCAAAAAAAAAGAATTCACCACTGTCGGCTACATTTAAATTTTTTTAATAATTTTATTCAATCTTAATAATTGCACAATTATATTCATAGTTTTTCTGTTATAATAATAATAATAATATTGCGCAAAATTGTGATATGAATAAAGTGATATTAATATTTAAGCACAAATAATTTTAAAGTGAACTAACTTATGTAGTTATGTATGCAAATTATTGTATTGTTTAAAGTTTTTAAATGTTGAGTATATCTTGTTGTTGCAACGAAAAATTTCAATTAATGAGTAATTTCAAGAACGTGTTTATGTGCAAGTAGTAAAGAATATTAAAAAAATTAGTTAAAAAAATTTTACAGTTATTTTTCTTATACTTGAAAATCCTTAAATTTTGCAACACATTTGGAACAATTTAAAGAAAGCATTATTAATTGTTTTCAATTTGTAATATTTTTCTGTAAATAATTTTTTTTTCTGAAATTTTATTTGAAAATTAATTAACTTTTTTGGTTGAAGGACGAATTTTATGTAATTTTAATGTCTAAAAGGGAATAATCTATATAATAATAATAAATTGACGATTTTTTGCAGTAATTAAAGTGGACTGTATCAGTAATTCCATACATAATAATTAAAATATTAGGAATTTTGTACTTCTTCAATATTTGCGATTTTTTTTAAAGAAAGAAATTTATTGCAAAAGCTGTACTTTCATCTTTAAGGCTTTCAATATTTTGGACAAACTTTCCCTCTATTTGCTAATTGGTCTTGGCCTAAGCGAATCAGAACCTCTTTTTCTTCATAAAACTGTTGTTGAAAACCCTCCTTCAAGTAACATAGTCTTTACGGTGTTTAAGATTTAAATTTAAGGTTAAATTAATCTCGCAAATTAAAATTGATAATTCGATTTAATAGTGCAGTGTAAAATGATTGTTGAAGTTATGTATATGCTTTCTACCATTTCTCTATGGTTGAATCTTGTTAATCTGTATTTGCGATAGGGTAAAGTTGCTTCTCCATTACGTCGTTGGTGGGTAAAAAGTCATATTAGAAATGAGATGCGTGATATATTTGGTGCTTACCAAACCTTATTCATGTACTTTACTCGAACTGATCATGAGGAATTTTATAAAGTGACTCGCATGACACCTGCACAGTTTGAAAATTTGTATAGATTGATCAGGCACAGGCTTATTAAACGTAGTATAAGACGACCCTTATCAAAACGCCTGCGTTTGTTAGTCACTTTAAAGTAAGTATTTGTTTTGTTTGTTATTTATTATATAAATTTTATTGTTTTAAGGACAATTCTTTTATAATTTTCTCATATAAAATAGCATCTAGTTACTACAAAAAAAAGCTGAACTATTTTAATCAAAGCTGTTTGAATTAAACATTTTTTTGTCTCCTGTAACATTAAAAGAAATGAGTTGAGCCACTTTCAAAATTCACAATTCAATTAAAATTGAAAAACAATTGAAAAATTTTTGAAATTAAAAATTAAATAAAACCTACAAATTTTAAACATTTTTAAAACCTCTAAAATTATGTATTTCTCTTGAAAATATACAACTTTTGTTCATAGAAGAATATCAATAATTAAATTGTTTTAATGTCCTATTTCCAGTTACTTAGCAAACGGCGATAGTCATAGAACAACAGCAAATTTCTTTCGGATCGGCAGGTCTACATCTTACATAATAATTGCCGAAGTATGTGGAGTTATATATGACTGCTTATCGCCCATCTATTTTGCCAGGAAAGATGCTCTTGACTGGCAATCTGTTGCACATGGTTTCCAAACCAGATGGGATTTTCCCAATTGCCTTGGCGCCATAGACGGCAAAGAAATTAGAATAAAAAAGCCACCCTGCTCAGGAACCTTGTTTTTTAATTATAAACGGTTTTGTAGTTTCAAACTACTAGCAACCTGCGATGCT